TTATTGTTGCTGCTGCTGTCGCTTTTATGACATGTCGTGAAGGACACAGCAGCAGCAGCAGCAGCAGCAGCAGCAGCAGCATTTGCTTTTAATGGCACAAAAGGAAAGTAAAGCAAACAAACGGACGAACGAGCGAACGGCGAGTCGAAAAAAGGACAAAAAAGGATGAGTTGTGGACTAGGCCGTAGGTTCATAACTGTGACTGCGACTGTGGACTGGATTGAGGTCGGGGTTGGTGTTGGGCTTGGGCTTGGGCTTGGGCTTGGACAGGGGCGGAGAATAACATCGATAAGGAACGAAACAGCCACAATGGACAATGGGCTGACCCAGCAACAGGACGTAAAGGACACGGACACGGACATGGACACAGGCACGGACACACAGCCATAGCTATACAGAGTCTATAGAGTCGGCGACGACATCCTTTTTCCTGTTCGTGTGTCTGTGTGGCATGTCTGTGTGGCAGTGTGTGCGCGTGTGTATTGGTGCGCGTGTCTGCCACGTCCTGGCCAACACCGTCGCCCGGCAGCGCCTGTCGAAAATGTTTTCCATTTCAGTTAGCAAATTATGTCGGCCAAAAGCGAAGCACGAAGAGACGAGCACAAAAAAAGCAAAACGAAGAAAAAGAGACGGCAAAATAAATGAAAACCCAGACGCGACGCAGTTACCAAATGTGTGCGTATGTGTGTGTGTGTGTGTGTGTATGTGGGTGGGCGCTATACGGACATGTTTTTATGACATGGCGGGACGAAAAAGGACACAAATAACAAAAACGGAACGGCAGAAAACAAGTCAGAAACGTGTGTGGAAATATGATGGACGCAGAGATATCTTGTAGCTGACAGACGGACGCAAGCTAATATCTTGTAAAAAGTGGATAGAAGAGGATTAAAGACTAAGAAGACGACTGTAGATAATATAGGTGAAATTACAGACTGGAGACTAGAAACATAACCGAAGGACTATTAACTAAGGTCTAACATGGTCTAACGGGGAATTTTCAGATCCTAGAGTCTAGAGTTTAGAGAAAGATGTAGGAATCTGGGGCAACTATAGGGAGTAATGGTTACAAACAGAAGACTGAGACTAAGAAGTAAGGCCAAAGGCTTTATGACATGTAGAGTCTGGAGTAAAAAGTAGAAACTGGGGACATTTAAGAGACCAAAAAATATAAATATAACTTCGTATAGAAAATTAGAAGTAATATATCAAACACAAGCAAGAGCGGACTTAGGATTAAACATTGAATATATCTGGCAATGTCTGTAGCCGAGTGTTAGGAATAAGTTACTCTAATCGAGTCACTAGGCGCCATGGATCATGGTCTAGAAACTACGGTCATCACTACGGGCATCGTTATGCAGGATCATAGACCATAATCCATGGATTATGGAGTACAGTTATTGAAATGCCCGCCATGGTTCACAGATAGGATTCCCTCTCTCTCCCTCTCTCAGGTCTAAGCACAATACCTCTTCGCATCTCTACAGGGTATAGCAGTAACTGGCGGATGATCATTTGCGCTCTTGTTATGTTGTCCCTGCTCGTGCGCCATTTGAGACCATTTTTACTTTTCGTCCTGCCTCACATCCTTCTTGCTTTCCTTTTCCATTTCCATTTCCACTTTTTTTTTTTCGGCTGCCTAGAATTTTTTTTCAGCCCATTGGGGTTTTCTGTTTTGTTTCTGTTTTGCTGGCGCTCTGCACTTGGCTTTTATGGTTGCTGGCGACGCGTTCCGCTCGAATTACGTGTCCATCGAGCCATGAGCAGCGGCTGCGGCGCAAATAAAGTTTCAAAAAAAGGAAAACGGAAAAAATTTGATGAATCGAGTGCCTTGCAGCCATTTTGAAAAGTCAACACTGACAGGCGGCGTGGAGAGGGGGAGGAGATTGGGTCAATCATATTGTGTCATAGATGATAGAGATTAAAGAGCGGCCAGCTCGTCCCTAACAGCAACAAATAGCGAAATAGCAGCTGCAGCTGCCATTGTAAATAGTCAGAGCACTCGACATGTAAGCGCACACACACACACAAATATACACAAACACACACAAATATACACACACATATATATATATTTATATGTATATGTATAGCAGTTTGCTGCATTTGCTTGTTTCTCCATTATGTGGTGCTTGTCAAAAAAGTGTGTGTGTGTGTCTGTGTGTTTCCCTCGCTTCCATGTGTGTGTGTGCGTGTGTACAATGCTGAATGTGGTTGTGCAAAGTGGTACAAAGTGCTAGGCTAGTGGACTCTTTTAGGCTCTGCCAGCGGGTTTTACAGCCTGCGAGCTGCTGGTTTGCTTTTTGCTTTCAGCTGTACTATTTCTGCAGTTTCATTTTTTCATTACAAGCAAACGACCTTCAGTTAGGGTTCCCAACACGCCCACGCCCACGCCCATGCCCATGCCCATGCCCATGCCCATGTCCACGCCCCCAGCCAGCGGGCAAAAGAAGTGCAGAATCAGGTCATGCGGGCATTGCCAGCTGCGGGGCGTGGCAGAGCAGCAGCAAAAGCAGAGCGCAACAGAAAAAAAAAAAAAAAACACTGAATTGTAACCAACAACTTTGTATGGTCGAGGCAAGTGAGTTCTGTGTGTGTGTGTCGCATTTGGCATTAGAAGCAGAGCAAATACATTTAGCACACACACACACATACATATATACACCCACACACCCACACACCCACACACCCACACATGCACAATAGCTAGCCAAGCAACCACATGCAAGTGGTTGCATTGAGAGCTGTTTCTCGTACTTCTCAACATCGAGCAGCTGTCGAATTTTCCTAACTGCAACATAGCAATGACAACACAAAATAAAATCTATTTTTTCCCTTTTTTTTGTGTGTGTGTGTGTGGTGTGGTAAAATGTTGTCCATAGATAAGAGTGGAGTGAAGCACTCAATTCAATTGTCTAAATGTTCTTAATTTCAACTGTTTTGCTGTAGACGAATGCGATAGGAGAACGGCAGGGCGTATACGTAATATCGATATTAAAGGGTAATAAAATAGGAATGTAGAGAGATGGGTAGAGAAGGTGGAGAATAATAAAGAGATAGACATAGAGAGTGACACACAGCGAGTGAGGGAGATGGATACAGAGGGCGGAGACAAAAAGACTGAGAGACAGAGACAGGCAGAGACAGTTGCAGGCATGTCTAGCCCATTAGCAACTGACACGTTAATTGACATATATATGTATATAGATAGAGTTAGATTGCCGAAAACATGGATGTAGATTTATATATAGCTATATGTATAGATTTCTAATACAAGTGACATTTAGTTAACCTTAAAATGTGGGTTATTACATCAATACGTAATTCCTAGCAGCTGTAGCTTAGACAGCAGTAATTTAATCATTGATTAAAAGTGGGAATTGGATTTTCATTTAATGAAGAGACAGATTGAGAGAAGTAGTGGAAGTAAAGAGAAAAGAAGATAAATCGAGGGAAAGAGAAAAAAAGCAAATGAAAAAAAAATAGAGCAGAAGAGAGAGAGAGAGAGAGACAGAGGATATCGAGAAAGGAAGATTAATGGAGAGAATGTTAAAGAGAAAAGAGAAAGGTAAAGAAAGATGAAGAGACAAAGAAATCGCTAGAGTGAGAGGTAAAGAAGAAAAGGGAGAAATTGAAGCGGATATACTGAGAGTACGAGACGAGAGAGAGAGAGAAAAAATTAATAGATCGAAGAGAAAGACCGACAGAGAGATGGAACGAGAGGAAATAAAGATAGATAGACTGAATCTTCAAGAAGCAAATTGTTTCATGAAGTCAGCTTAAGATTTTTTAAATCGACCATAAAATGAATATCTCCATTATCTTAAATTTTAGACAGAGCTACATGGGCATTCGATGCCCCTATCTCATTTGCATGTAAATTCTTCAATTTCAAATTTAAATAATAATTTTGCATCTGAAATGTTTTCGTTCAGCGGAGCAGTTCAGTGGGCAAAACTGCCCTCGAGCAGAGGTGGCATGCCTCACACGTAGCGAAAAAGAAATCCCCTCCACACAGCGACAATTTTCCATGCACCCGGTTTTTGCAGTCAGCCACGAATAACAATGAGAAGCAGAACGACATCGACGGCAGCAGCAGCAGCAGCAGCAGCAGCAGCGACAGAACAGCCCACCTGACCCACTGACACTGCCCGCAACGGGCAGTCAGGCAACAGACCTACCCCACATAGCCGCACACACACACGCACACAGTACACATACACACACAAACAGTACACAGCTCACAGCATGTTGCATGTTGTTGTTGCACATGCTCCGTCAAATCATATTTCCGTTTTTGTCGCCCTCGCCATTACCCACTTGACGCTCGTCAGCTGCCAGCTAGGTAGAGATAGTTCGGCATCAACATCATCATTATCATCATCATCATCACCAACAATAACTCGATCATCAGCTAGCTCATCAGCTGGCTTCATCATGTTAATCGTCATCTGTCAGACGCATTTGCGGTTGCCAGCAAATTGAATGTAGGTCGGGCCCCTCCACACACACACACACACAAACACACACACAGGCATGGAGACAGAGAGCAGTTGATGTCGTTGCGGTTGGCATTCGCGTGACCACAGCGCCATCGATCAGACAGAGCTGGAGGGGACAAAGAGCCAAGAGCGCGAGAGAGAGAGGGGCCGGCTGATTGGGCAGCTGAGTGTGTGGCGAGGGTGGGGGGCATGGTCGATTGGCTGCCGCCGCCGCCAGCTTGTCTGCTCTCAGTTTGCATCCACGCCCAATTAACAGGGCAGCGCCCTATTCCAGCGACTGTTCCACTTATCGAGCGAGACTTGCATATATAAGCTAATATATAAATATATATATATTTCTATGATATTTGGGCAGCTGTTGGCAGCAGCTTAAAAGTATGCTATATTTTTCAAGCAAAGTGCAAAGGCTTTTAGATTTAAGTTGTTAAATGGGTGGGGCATAGATAGACATATAGAGTGAAGTCTTGAAAATATATAGCAATATTTCTTAAATACCTGATCATTAGCATGAGCATCTGCATAATGTCTATAGCCATGTTGCTGACATCAGCTAACTAGTCTCTCCCAGCATCAATGTTGGCCAAGTTTCCCTTTAGGCACTCCTATCTGAAATTTGAAATATTGTGTATAAGTTTTAGTTTATATTTGTATTTATATTATTTCTAGAAGGTATTTCCATCATAGATCAAAGACTAAAGCAGAGCTAACTGCAGCACATTCCTGGATGATAAAAATCCAAACAAAAATATATAAATTTTAAAGTCAAAATCCAAATAAAGCTTCAACCAAATCAATTAGTATACAAAAATCTTAGACTTAAGCAAATAAATATAGAAAAAATTATTAAAAATTGTATGGATCATTGAAGTCTTGCACATGCATTTCCTCCTCTTTCTCTCTCCCACTGCTTTCCGCTTCCCCTATTCACGTCCTGTGCAGTTTGTTCGTTATCAAGTCAAGCTCTGTGGGCGTGGCAATAGCTAGCATCAGCTATTGTTTAACCCAAGCTCAGTGTATTTGGAGCACTTACAAAATTCGCATTTCCCTTAGTTCGACTTGGACTGTCGCCGCTGTTGTTTGTGTTAAACTTGGCTGCTGTCTGTCTGGCTACACATATATAATAGCAGCACACACATATATATATATATATATATATATGTATATATGTGAGCCCTTGTTTAGCATCGCTAAAACTGCGTATATGTGCTTGCCCCAAAATGTATGCTATACTTTCTTCTTCTTTTTGGGTTGAGCGCAGCTGCTGCTGCCTCTGTTTGCCTCTGCTGCGGCTGCTGTTGTTGTTATTATTATTATTGTTGTCTCGTCTCTAGAGCAGACACTGCTATTACACACACAGCCACACGCTCACCCACACCCACACTCACACTCACACACACACAGACACACAAACACACAAACACATTTAGGCGAGGACTAACTGATTTTTAGGTCGCTGGCGCAAACGACAGAGCGACGATGCGACGTTTATAGCTTGCCTGACTGCGGCTCAACGTTAGCTCACACATACACGCAGACACACACACATATATATAAACTAACTGGCAGACAGGCAGACAGAGCAACAACAACAACAACAACAACAACAACATCGGCGCTCGTTAGAAAACAGCAGCCACAGCCACAGCCGAAGCATTAAAAGCCCCGTTACCAACAGACATCCAGCCCAATTCAAACATCCACACACACACAGACCCAGAGATACACACACACACTCAGCCGCACCCCAGCTACACAATTTGGTTAGACATGAACCAGTTTTTATGCCATTTTTATTTTATTTTACTTTTATTTTTGCCAGCATTTTCGCGCCTTCCTTTAGCCCATTTCTGCTCTCTAACCCTCACACACTCTCTCTCTCTCTCTCTTTCTGTCTCTCCCTTGCGCACTCTCTTCATGCTTGGCTAGTGCCGCCTGCTGCCGGCAGATGGCTCGCTGGTTCTTCTTATATATTTAGCTGCATTTCAACGAAAAATGTTCTTGCTTCTTTATATACGACCCAATGTTTGTATATAAGCTATATATATACACATACATATATATGTATATATATATTTACTGTGTGTGTGTGTGTGCTATGTGTATATAGAACTTTCAGCCATTCATTTCGTTTTATTGTCGTTACTGTCGAGCGCAGCAGCAGCGGCAGCAGCAGCAGCAGCAGCAGCAGACAGCCGTCTGCGTGGCCCGTGTGGATTTTCGGTTCGTGAATTGTTTGCTAAAATTTTTTCCTTTTTGCTGTCATACCCTGTACGCAAGCAGAATGTAAAGTAGGATAGCATGAATTGGACTAGAATAAGATATTATCTTACATTCTTTTTAAAATCTAACTTGGATTTTTCTGTTCTGGTAAGCTAAATTAAATCGATAAATATCGATAGCTGGTATTGGCTATATATACAAAAATATTAATATGTGCTATAAAGGAAAATGGCCAGGATTTTAAAAATTACGTGATGATAGATGAAATACAAATTTTTGATGTATATTTGAACTTTTTTCAGAACTATGTCGATACATATCGAGCTATGTTGCTTTTAGCCCATGTATTAGAATTAAATTTTCGAAAATTTCTTAATAGAGCGGATGAGCTTTTATTAAATATCGATAAATACGATATTTTGTTTTAATTTTTCTTAAAGATTTTTCCTCAGCATAGTTCTATGCACAGACAGAATATGCACACAGAATATAGCTAAAGGCAATATATGCAGAAAATCGATAAATATCGAAGGAGTTTCTAAAGGTATTTGAGGCATTTGTGCACTAGCAGCATCTAATGAAATACCTAGATATAAGACATGCACTTGCCTGGCATGCTCGCTTGGCGCACTTTCGTTGTAGTATTGTTGTTGCTATATTTTTTGAGCTGGCGCTTAAAGTTGGCAGTCGGGCAGTCAGCCAGGAGGCAGTCAGGCAGTCAGTGGCTGGTCGCATAACGCTGCCCGCATTGTGCCTCGCCTTGGCGCAACCAGCCTGTCGCATGTTCCGCATGCCACATCTCCACACCGAGCCATACAGCCCCGCACGATTTTGCTCACTTTCGTTTCAGCTGTTGGTGTTTTGGTTCGAGCGCTTCTCGCTCTGCACAGAGAAGTTTTTAGGTTTTTTTCTGTTGAACTTTTTTGGATTTTTTTTTTTTTTCTGAGCTTTTGTCTGCTTTTGGTTTTTATTCCTGCCACATACACTCCATGCTACACCGCCCTACGTGTCCTGTGCGCGCCCACTTTCCAGTGGTCGGTTTTTGTGTGCTGCAGCTTTTCGCTTGCTTTTTGGCGTCGAGTTGGGGCGACGTCGTCTAAGCTCCAAATTTATGTGCCATGTGCGTTTCATATTTTTACTGCTGCTATGTGGACCAGAGCTCCTGCTGCTGCTGCTCCCTTGGGCTGAACACACACACACACATATATATACACACACATATGCATACATATTTTTGCTTTAGAACATTCTTTTTGTTTCGATTTCGTTTTAGAATTTAAGAAATATTGAAAAATGTGAAAAGTTTCGTGCATTTTAAGGGTATATTTAGTTAATTTACCGTTAGCTAACAGAGTTTGTCGTAGGCAAGTGTTGTCTGTGAATTAGCAAGTATTTTTTGGTGTATTCTTATGTCAAAGGGCCGTATAAGCTATGCTCATGTGCCTTATGGGGCGTATGCGTAATATTTGTATGAAAGTTTTACAAACTGCACGCAACTTAACTTAAATTTGCTTTATGAATTTGTTTAAGAGCAATTTGTATGTGTTTATTAGAGAAGCAAACTTTTAATTTAGAAATTTGTGAATAAGAGTTTCTGTGGAAATTTATGAAACAGATAGAAGGAGGACAGGATGGAGGATTACTTCATATAGAGATGGAGTTGTACTGGGGTTGGTCGGTTTATAAGAAACTCTGATCTACAGAGGCAGCATAGCCTTAATCATTAGTTCATGTATGGAAATATTTATACATGTTCAGTCGAGCTTCGATAATTTGTATCCCGCTAAATCAAAAATCCCGATAAATCGAAAAAAATGTTATCCTCTAGAAAAAAAATTCGTTCTCGAAAAGTCTCGATAATTTGAATTTTTGTGTAAATTGAAAAAAAATTTTTTTTTAATTATCGGGACTCGATTCTCCAATCCTCTGACTTACTGAATATGTCTCATAACAATGTCTAACTAAGTAACACACTAACACCTGCATTTATCTACTTGATACACCATTCAGGTCTTTTATCGCCCAACTATAAGTACTACACTTTATCTCTATCTAAGACTAATATCTATGGTAATTTGAGTTGTCCAGCTAATGGCATATCCTCATAAGATATATCAAGTATCTAGAGCTAAGCTCGCCTGTAGCCTACTTATGGGCGTTGTCTGCACATCTCGCTTTTTTTTTTTTTTTGGTGACCCGCTTAGCCATTAGCTATGGAGTAGCTTTTGCCCCGTCCATTGGGTGTTGCTGTTATTGTTACCGCGCCTGTTACGTCAGCAACCGCCGAAAGCACAGCCTGTGGCGCAGCTAAACCCAAAAAGAAACAAAATAAAATGGAAAGAAAAGAAAACCAAACAAAAAGTGTCAAAAGTTTGACTCAACTTTCACACGCGCGCTCAAGTGTGTGTGTGAGTGTGTGTGTGCGTGTGCGTGTGGCCAGCCATGCCACAGTCAACTTGTGAACTAACCACAATCACACACACACACACACACTCAACTTGTGTAGGCAATTGCTTTGTTGATTATGCCTTCCCCGCCTTCACATTAATGCGCATCCCTTTCGCTTTTTGGGGTTCGTTTCCTTGCCACACCCACTTGGTGAGTCGCCATCTCTCTCCTCCCCTCACCTCTCCTCCTCACTGTTTCGGCTTTTGCGTCATTCGCCAGTGTGTCGTCGTCGTCGTCGTCGTCGTCGTCGTCTGTCTCCTGTCTCCGCCTGATGTCTGTGTGTATGTGTGTGTGTCGCTGTCTTGTGAATTTCCTCTTGACTTGACAGCCGTCGCTTCCGCTGTGCTTCCCAAGCAGAAGCTGGCTCAGGCCCGGACCCAAGCCAAACCCAACCCAAGCACTAATCATCAACGACGCCGTCGTTTCGCCTTGACTCTCTGACATTTGTCTCACTGTCTGTCTGCCTGTCTGGCTTTCTGCTTAGCTGTCTATCAGCCAGTTTCCTTGTTAAGACATTGCACAGTGGTGCCAAGTGTGGCAAATAAGAGAAGAAATCATCAAAGCTATTACATATAATGAATATATTGATTTCAAATTTCAAGAGTAAGAGAGATAGAGAAAGAGGTGCAAAATATTGAACGACAAACTCCAGCATTCATTTATTTGAAGCGAATCGCATAGAAGAGCATTCTAACCATAATCCAAGTTTACATTATAAGAAATTCTATAGATGCACATTTAAGAAATCAGAATGAAACAGAAGAGTATTTTGGAAAATAAATTTAAGAATTCATTTTAGAAATCAGAATGAAATAAGAGTCTTTTTTGGACAAGAAAACTAAACTCAGCTATACAAAATAAGAATTTGACAATACATACGACAAAGACAGATAAATTCGTTAACATTTCGACAAAGATCGTCTGACTTCCTGGGAATT